TTCAACCCAAATCTTAGACCTCTAAAGCTGTCACCCTTCAATTCTAGTAGCTGTTGTCAGAATGATTTTAATAGAACAAAAAGGATGGGAAAGGCCTGATGTAGTTTCTACAAGACAATCCTTAAAATGGGATTATGTGTTTGACATGATTCTAGCACAATTTTCTAATTCTTACTCATGGCTCCAGCCCCAACATGGGCCTGCAAATCCTGGGGCTGCAAATCCAGGATCGTGGAAGCAGAGACTGCGAAGACGACAAACAAATGTATTGCAAGTGGTCCTACATTTGGCTGATATCACATCCATTCCTTTATAAATGTCCCAGGGCTGGGAAAGACATTTTTTTCTGTTACAAAGAGCTAATAAAGTTTTCCATATATCAGAGAGCACATTTGTCCTTACAAGTACATCTGCTTATACATGAGGAAATCTGAAAAGCCAGTGAGTACATCCAAGCATCTCTGACAGAAAAATTATATAACTCTGACATCTTGCATACAAATTGAAATGCTTAATGCCAAGGCAATTGTATTTGAATTTCATATGTTTGAAGAGATGAATACCCTGTGTTCACAGATTCTTTTTATGTTTTCAGAGAATAAAATGGCTTGCAATTCTATCCACATACCTTAATTCTTACAAGAGAGATTCCTAGTGAAGGTTAAAGCTCTGGCTTTATCTCTATCTCAGAAGACTTCCAAATAATTATAAACTATTACCAAATATTTGGGACTACTACTTTGTTAATATAGGACACTGAGTGAGAAAAAGGGAGAAATGTGAATAGTTGTACATGGAATTTATACTAGAAGAATTTAGAGCCCACAGAGCAACTCTCTCTCTCTCTCTCTCTCTCTCTCTCTCTCTCTCTCTCTCTCTCTCTCTCTCTCTCTCTCTCTCTCACACACACACACACACACACACACACACACATTCACACAAGTGCACACATGTACACATTATATCGCATGGCAATAACTGATTGATATAAAAAAGATGAGGCTCAATGATGCACTAGTGAGTTTTAAAATCAACCAACATGAGACCTGATTTTCAGTTGTGCCAATGTGACTTTGAACAAGCTACTTAATCCCTTTGTTGTATGCTCCTTGTTAACCCTTGAATGATTGTGATAGGACATACCTTACATGATTTCTCTGGTGACTAGTGACCTGTGTGAATCACAGTGTGTAAGCCAAAGGATCTTCTCCAAAATGTTGCCTATGCTCATCATTGCAGGAAAAGATTTGGGGTATGATTTAATTTCAGAGAGGAGAGAGATGATTTTAAAGTACATGCTAAAGGTAAAGTTTATACCAGAGGTGAAGGGAAGAAGGCAAGTAATGTGGGAATTTATCAAGGCAACTCCACGTAGTTAAAAAGGAGGTTTATTTTCAGGTAACTTACAGCCAATAAAGGGGTTGGTTACAGGATCTGGGAGAGGTGAGGTGCAGTCCAGCAGAGTTCTCTGGAGAACTCTGACTCGGTCTGTCTTCTAGCATCCAGGATCTCCAGAAACCAAGAGCACCAGCACATCCAGATCTTGGGTCTTAAGGGCTCCCATTTCAGCCCACCCCATGGGTGCGTCATAGGTAGGCATGGCAATTACCAGAAGCCTCACTAGAGGTAGTACTTCCAGGTCAAAGTTAGAACAGCTACCTACTACAGGCAAGGTCTATGCAAGCTGTCCAGACAGATGAATGGACATTTGGTAATGCCATAATTAAAATTAGAGATAAGGACATAAAAGGATGACAGAATTACCCAACAGTGATGGCCGTTTACAGAAAGGACATCATTATTCTTTAGCCATCTTGCATTATCCAAGTCTTTCCAGATGTTTAGAACTGTAAAGAACATGAGAGTCCTTTCCCCAAGGGTCTATTTTAAGCAGCTTAAATTATATGTTCAGCAAAAGTGCTTGATATTGTAGGATGTACTTTTCTAAACCAGCCTTCACATGTGCAGCCTCCTTGGACCGTGCAGCTGGCTCAGAATTACCTGACCGTGCAAGAAAATTATTTTGACAGATCTGAAAAATCTGGCAGTTGGAGAGCAAATGTGATTGCATCTACCTTAGTAATGGACAGCATCCAAACCAAAAAAAAAATGAATCCAAATTTCAAAATTCTCTGTTAAGGGAGGGAAGTCATCAAATGCCAAATGATGAAGTACTTTCACAGAGCACAAGTGACTTTCAACTCACTATCCTATAGGAACACGGGTAAAAGGAAATGGGGTAAAAAGATTTCTCTATTGCCTATGAATAGACGCTTGCCTTTCAGCAAAACATGTCATATATTTTGCATTCTTAAAGTAATTTTTCTTCAGAGGTGATTAGCATAATACCTTGAAAATTATTTCAATGTAAAGCTATTAAAACACTCCTTCCACTACGTGAGCAGGAAGTGCTCACTGTTTCTTAACCAGCCTTTAAATGATGGCTAGGAAACAAGTGAGCAGAGTGAGACTATATAGATATTATTTCCCCTACAGGAAGCCAGCTCACTTGGCTGATGCTGGCTGGTCGCAGTAAATAAAGGCAGATCCTACATCAGACAATTTTAACCTTGAGATAGAGAGCACTATTTTAATACAATACTCAATTTTCCTAGCCTTTGTATTTCATCCTAAAATAATTAATATGGTTCTCTTTCTACTTCAGTCTTCCTCAAAATAATATGTATAGCTCTTTCTAGTTCTATGATCTTTCTGATTAAACTTCTGAAGAAGTCTGCAGTTGACCACATACACTTCCACAACTAAGAATGAAGTAATGGTGAAGCCTTGAAGCATGTTCACTTAAAACTACGATGTATTCTCCCCCCAGCAAGTATCAAATGGTCCTGAGAGAATAACTCTGTAGGAATACTCGCTTTTTAAGTTTTATTTTTATTTGTGTGACTCTGAGTGTGTGTGTGTGTGTGTGTGTGTGTGTGTGTGTGTGTGTGTGTGTGACACGTGTGTGGGCATGCCCATGGAATCGAGAAGAGAATGTCAAATCCCCTACAGCTGAACTTATAGGCAGTTGTAAGCCACCCAACACGAGTGCTGAAAACCAAACTAGTGTCCTCTGCAGGACCAATAAACGCTCTTAACTGCGGAGCCATATCTCCCATCTTAGAGGAAGACTCTTGCCAACAAAAATCTTTTATCTCAGGCACTATGAGAAGGCTGCGCTCACATTTTCACTTAACATTCACTCTTGTGACATTGAAACAGGGAAAAAAAGATGAAAAACAGGTACAAGTAATAAATATGGTGAACAGTTGTATCATTAAAAATTCTGGTAATGGGATGGCCAAACACCCTAATTGTCGTGCTAGAAACCTCATCCAACTGCTGAGGGATCTGGATGCAGAGATCCATGGCTAGGCCCCAGGTGGATGTCTGGGAGTCCAATTAGCGAGAATGAGGAGGGTTTATATGAGCGAGAATTGTTGAGACCAAGGTTGGATAAAGCACAGGGACAAATAGCCAAACGAACGGAAACACCTGAACTATGAACCAATGGCTGAGGGGTTCCCACTGGATCAGGCCCTCTGAATGGGTGAGACAGTTGATTGGCTTGATCTGTTTGGGAGGCATCCAGGCAGTGGGACTGGGTCCTGTGCTCATTGCATGAGTCGGCTGTTTGAAACCTGGGGCCTATGCAGGATCGCTTGGCTCGGCCTGGGAGGAGGGGACTGGACCTACCTGGACTGAGTCTACCAAGTTGATCTCAGTCCGAGGGGAAGGCTTTGCCCTGGAGGAGATGGGAATGGGGGACAGGCTTGGGGGAAGGTGAGGGGGGCGGGAGGGGGGAGAACAAGGGAATCCGTGGCTGATATGTAGAACTGAATTGTATTGCAAAATAAAAATTAAAAAAATCCCTTTTCTGTAACTAGATTTTTCCTGCCTGGCCCACGGTCAGGGCAAATCTCTCTCATCTGCCAGTCCCACTGCCACTCAGACCCGACCAAGTAAACACAGAGACTTATATTGGTTACAAACTGTATGGCCGTGGCAGGCTTCTTGCTAACTGTTCTTACAGCTTAAATTAATCCATTTCCATTAATCTATACCTTGCCACATGGCTCGTGGCTTACCATCATGGCAGCTGGCAGTGTCTCTCTGACTCAGCCTTCCACTTGCCAGCTTTATTCTCCTCCTTGTCCCGCCTACACTTCCTACCTAGCCAATGGCCAATCAGTGTTTTATTTATTGACTAATTAGCAACACATTTGCCATACAGAATATCCCACAGCACTTTTCCATCACCAGATGAAACCCAGTTTCTCATACATTTTTCAAAGAAGTAATTCATGTATCTAGTACAATTAGCTCTGTTTTTCTTCCCACCAAAACAAGCATCCAAATAAATTTTTCCATCCCTTACAATCTTGCTTAATACATTTTGGAGTATTTCCTAATGAGTAAGTAGAAACCTACTTCATTTCTTTGAGTGAGTTAGATAGGCTGGAGGCACAGCTCCATGGCATAGTGGTTGCCTAGCATCCATAAAGCCCTAGGTTCAATGTCAGGAAGAGAAAAAAAATGTTTCATAGTGTTTTATGCTCTGGGATAGCATGACTAATAAACCTATCATTTCTTCAATTGATGCACATAATTATTGGTTTTTCTCTTACAAATAATGTTGCAATAAGCACATGTCTTGCATATATAACAGTTAAAAAGTTTCCTGGGGATCCGGTTACCTGAACAAAGAGTATGTACATTTGAAGTTTCATAAACACTTCATGGAAGTTCCATAGATATGACTCAATTGCCTTCTAAATGGTAAGACCTGTGATATTTTTAACATCTGTGAGAGAATGTCTGCTTCCTCCTACCTCAGCAAGGCAGCACCAAAACAAATTGTTAAATGTTACCAGTTGTCGTGGGTTGAACAGTGTGTTAGTCCACCTTCTTGTCACTGTGACAGATACCTGAGAAAATCAATTTAAGGCAATGAAAACATGCTTTGGTTCATTGTTTCAAAGGCTTCAGTCAAAGCCTACCTGTTGTTTTAGTGGGAATCTCATGAGAAGCAATTGTTCACCTTGTGTCATTGATGAAGCAGAAGGAGAGATAAGACACATCAAACCCCACTTCCACACAACTGCTCTCTCCATCCAAGTCCACCTCCTGAAGTTTCCAGGACAGTGCACAGGAAAAACCAAACACTCAGTATGTGAACCTGTGGAGAATATGTCATGTTCAGACAATAACAATGACCCCTCCCTCAGATGAAGTTGATGTCCTAACATCCACCACGTATGAACAAGAATCTGTTTAGACATGGAATCTCAACAAATTACCAAGTTAAGATCAGGTCATTTGGGTGAGCATACTCTAGTACAGCTGAGTCCTTATAAAAGAAGACATTTAAACACAGATGCAGACATGAGAACAGGGACAGTACTAGATGAAGATGAAGGTAGAAATGAGAAAAATACATCCACAAGCTAAGCAATGACAAGGACGGCCAGAAAACCATCAAACACATGGACAAATTATCCCTCACAGCCCCTAATTGTGCTGATCTCTTGTTCTCAGACTTCTAACTACCATACATGAAAGACGATAAAGTCTGTTGCTCTGTGATCCTTAGTTGTGGCAGATAAAACAGGATCTGATTATGTTTTCCTGTATCCATTCTTCCATACTCATCTACCCTCAAGTTTTGTCACTTATAAACACATGCTGCATTCAGCACATGCTTATGATCAAACCTTGCAACCATTTAAATTTTGCAGGATAAATAATTATAGGTGACAATACTGTATTTTAATTGTTTTGACTAGTTTCTTTGTGACTAGGATGTAGCTTATGATTATACTGTAAGTGGCCTTGGCTGTTCTGTTTTGATGCTTTTCTCCTAAGACTATTACATGTCCTGTACTAAGTTTTCTGCTGAAATACATTTTTTATTATTGATTTGTACAAGTACCTTATAAATCAAAGAAATCATCAGCTCATTATGTCTACTGCAAGTATATTCCCTGCTTAAGATTTATTATTGGTGTAGTTTAACATTGTGCAACAATTATTTTATATTTCCATGATAATTTTATAACTTTGTATAGTCAAATTATTAAAATTTATTTATGAAACTATTTAAATTTACATCTTTTTAGTGTTGCCATTGTTGTTTTGAGACAGGGTTTCTCTGTGTAGTCCTGGCTATTCTGGAACTCACTCTGTAGACCAGGCTGGCCTAGAATTCAGAGATCCACCTGCTTCTGCCCTAAGTGCTGGTAGTAAGGCCATGCATCACCACCTCCCAGCTGAAGTTTATATCTTATTTGTAAAAACAGTTTTGTACCTTTAAATTATAAACTAATGCAAGCTTACTTTGTCATTTTATCAACTTCACTTCTAATTATGAGGGTTTTATAACTATGATAAAGAATATCCTTACATATTCTTCTTTAAGTATTATTAGAATTGAACTTAAATTTCAACTAGACAAGTTTCACTCCTATTTTTCCAAGTTATTTTATTTATTTTGATTGTGTTTGTAGTGGATTTATATTTTACAAAATTGGTTTTGCTTACTAAAATGTGTTCTTTTTTATTCCTTTTTTTAAAATGTATTCTTCTTTCATATATTACATCCTGCCTGCATTTTCCCCTCCCTCCTCTTCTCCCAGTCCCTCCTCCTGACCTCCCTTCTCCCCCAGATCCACTCCTCCTCTGTTTCCCTTCAGAAAAGGGCAGGCCTCCCAGGGATATCAACCAAACATGGCTTAAGTTACAATAAAGTCTTATGAAGGCACATACCTTCATATCAAGGCTGGATGAGGCAGCTCAGTAGGGAGAAAAGGGCCCCACATGCAGGCCGAAGAGTCAAAAACAACCCCCACTCACACTGTTAAGATTCCCATAAGAGAACCAAGCTGCACAACCATAACATACATGCAGAGGACCTAGCTCAGATCCAAACAGGCTACCTGAATGTTGCTTCAGTATTGGTGAGCCCCTATGAGCCTTGCTTAGTTGAGTCTATCGGTTGTGTTCTCCTGGAGTCCTCACCCCTTCTGGCTCCTACAATCCTTCCTCCCCGTCTTCTGAGGAGTACGCTAAGCTCTGCCTAATGTTTGGCTGTGGGTCTCTGCATCTGATTCCATCATTTGGTAGATGAAGCCTCTCTCATGATAATTGGGCTAGATTCCAGTCTGTAAGTATAACAGAATATCATTAGGAATCGTTTCATTGAGTTTTTTTTTTGCCAGTCATGTTTGGTTCTATCCTAGGTCTCTTGGGACCAGGTGGGGGTAGGGAGGAAGAATAATAGGAAGAACTGGTTTGGGGAGGCAGGCATCTCGGGATGAGGTAGAATGGAAATTTCCTAGTATAATTCCATGAACTCTACCGGGTGACCCTAGCGAAGACTCCTAGTAATGGAGGATACAGAGCCTGAACTGACATTCCTCTGTAACCAGGCAAGGCCTCAAGTGGAGGGGTTGGGACACCAACCTATCCACAAAACCTTTGCCTACACTTTGACATGTCTGCAGGATATGCTGGGACTGGAGTCTAGCATAATCATCATCAGAGAGACTTCATCTAGCAACTGATAGGTACAGATGCAGAATCCCCCAGCCAAATATTAGACAGAGCTCAGAGTCCTGAGGAGGAGGGTGAAGAATTGGAGGAGCCAGAGAGGTCAAGAACACCAGAAGAACGTGGTCCACAGAATCCAATAAGCAGGGCTCATAGGGGCTCACAGAGGCTGAAGCAACAGTTAAGGAACCTGCATGTGTCTATACTAGGTCCTCTGCATATATGTTATAGTTGTTAGCTTGACATTTTTGTGGGACTCCTAACAGAGGGGCAAGGGTGTCTAAGGAATTTTTGTCTGTTCTTGGGACCCTCTTCTTCCTACTAGGTTACCTTGCCCAGCCTTGATATGAAGGTTTGTGCCTAGTCTTATTGCATCTTGTTATGCCATGTTTGGTTGGTATCCCTGTGAATACTGCTCTTTTCTGAAGGGAAATAGAAGAGGAGTGGAGGAGGGGACAGGGATTGGAGGTGAGGGGAAGGGGAAACTGTGGTCAGGATGTGTTGTATGAGAGAATAATAATAATAATAATAAATGAAAAAGCATGTATGTTGGTGTTTTAGAGTGAGTACTACTATGCCCTTACTAGACTATAGTACAGTGTGAACACAAACTTATGTGTACTGTGAACCCAAAAAGTTTATGGAGATTGTTTCACTGCAATATCTGTTTTATTAGCATGATCTGGCACTAAAAGGCAATATCTCTGGCACACGCCTGTATTTCTTAGTATTTGTTGATAGAATCAGAAAGATCAATTTTTATATGACTACTTTGGAAATTTTTCTGGTTTGTAAGTTTTTTGTCCTTCCTTTTATATGTTTTGGCTGCAGTTCTTTTGTCTACAGTTACGTTTTCCTCCTCTGCGTACTTTAGTTTCATGAATCTTACTACTACAAACAGGGAACAATACTGATATGCATATTCTTCTATTTCCAATATTTTAAAGACTCTTTTATCATTTTTGTTGAATCCTAATTCCAGGCAGGGAATGAAGAACGTCTGAATCACATTGGAGCTGTAATTCTGTAATCTTAACATTAGTCATAAAAGGCCTAGCTGATGCAATTGTTGGGAGATAATATTGTGAAATGCATATCAGACTTCACCAAGGCAAACATTTGATAAAGGCGGTTCCTTTCTTCTGGGAAACCTTAGGTGCTTCCATCAATTCGTAATGTCTATTGAAGACGAAGCATTGTTTTCAGTTATACACAAAAAAGTTTTAAAACCAAAAATATTTAGGAATAATTAAATCAAAATATATACTTACCATGTGGTTAATATGATAAGCAAGACACCATGAAGTTACTGAACTTTTATGAGACTGTGTGTGTGTGTGTGTGTGTGTGTGTGTGTGTGTGTGTGTGTGCAGTAGGTGTGTGTATGGGGGGCAAGTGCAGTGTGAGTAAATGTGTTGGGGTAGGGTATTTTTACATGGGCATGGTGGGTGTGCCTATATGTGCATAAGCGGGTTTGGGAGTAAGGTGGAGGGGTGTGTGTGTGTGTGTGTGTGTGTGTGTGTGTGTGTATGTATGTGTGTGTAGTGCTGGAACATCAACCACACAAGTCAAGTGTTCCATCATTAAGCTACATCCCAAGCCATATAAGTTCTCTTATCCCTTTTCTTTTCTTTTTTTTTTTTTGTTTTTTTTTGGGGGGGGGTTCAAGACAGGGTTTCTCTATGTAGCTTTGGAGCCTGTCCTGGATCTCACGCTCTGCCTCCCACGTACTGGGATTAAAGGCGTGCGCCACCACCACCCAGCTTCTTATCCCTTTTCTTAATGCATTGCACTGCCCTACAGCAAACTCTTACTACTTTGCCTTTCATTTTTTCCCCCACAATTGTGAGAGCAAATGAGTTCCTGTGAGTTTCTATGCACTGGGTGTCATTCTATAAGTTCAGATGTTTCTCAGAACATGATCCCTCAACCACAGAACCTTCTCATCTGGATATTTCTGGCTGAAGGAACTCTTGAAACCACGGAAGCAAGTAGGTCATTCTGATGCTCTCTGCCTGTCTTCCCTGAAGCATTCTCATAAAAGAGTTCTCTGACCTTCCTTCCTCCAATAGGTCATAAACCACCTGTTTCAAAGTGGTCCTGCCTTTGCCCAGGAGGCCAAGAACAATCTAAAATGCGGCACAGTTTCCCCATTTTACAAGCATCAGATCACTCCTTCCTGCCTTCCAACATTTCTGGAAACTCTCTATAAAAATGCAGTTTTGCTGGGTGGCAGTGGCACACGCCTTTAATCCCAGCACTTGGAAAGCAGAGCCAGGCGGATCTCTGTGAGTTCACGGCCAGCCTGGTCTACAGAGTGAGCTCCAGGACAGGCACCAAAACTACACAGAGAAACCCTGTCTCAAAAACAAAAAAAACCAAACAAACAACAACAACAAAAAAAAAAAACGCAGTTTTGTTTGGGTGATCAGATCTTTAATTTTTAAGGCTCTGTATCCTTGTATGTACTTTCCTCTCCTTAATCTGTGTTTCCTTATAGAGGTGTATGTCAACTGTTAATCTTGCTGTGAGTACTATTTCTTTTCAAAACACATTTAATTCACATGTTTTGAACCCATTTAATAAATGAGAAAATTGAGGCCCAGAATTAAAGGAACTGGTCCAGTCTTT